TCGGGTTAGGAGCTAAGCGCGCTTCGGGCAGGGAAGGAAAAAAAAGTTCGTGGTGGGCCCTAGGCAGTATTCCCACTGGGGAACCTGCTCGATACCATGACGATAAGTGAGAATGGAATGAATGAACTATGAAACAGTTGGGTACAAGTACTAACCCTAATTGGGTTGTACCCCTTATGGGCTACCCCACTACAGCCTACACAAATGTATAAGCTATAATGTTCTGACAGTCTGCCGTGGAGAAGGTGATGCTCTTCCAGCGTTGCGTCATCACCGTGCTGCAGCCGCTTCTTGATGGCATTGCCAGGTCCGTACTCGGTTTGCATCTTGCTAAGACATCATCTCACCACCTGCATGGTATGCAAACCCTCTCTGTATGTAGCATGGCCCTTTGCCCCTCGTCGTTCCTCCCTAAAAGCCATAACCCGAATTCCTGTTGCCCCTCTGCCTGTTCCTTGCAGCAGGTTCCGTCTCAGGGACCCTTTCGGTGATTGGCAAACCGTGCGGCCCCTGCTCTACGCCTGGGTGTGCGACTACCCCGAGAGCGGCAAGATCAGTTGCACACTCTCGCACGAATCGCGGATGCCGTGCAGCATCTGCTATGCTGCAAATGTGAGGTCACATGCCATCTGCACGCATTCAAATACATTCTCGTTTGTGGGTCGCCTGATAGAACCCACATAGCTACCACCCTTACCTTTTCTATCCCATCCCTCACCCCCGTGCTACAACAGGAGCATCTGAGTGCTGTCAAGGCATGGAACACGCCGCGCACGCCTGAACAGCAGCAATGGATCGTTAACAAGGCGGCTGGGACCACAACTAGCCAGGCTGACCCGTGCAAGGCCTACTCTACCTACCCTGTTGAGGTGAGTGACCTGTTTCCCCGGCCCATGAGTAGTCTATGCTCTCGCTCGCCCCGTCATGAATTGCCAGATGTGCTCTGCCCCATTGAACTCACCCCACTTGTGGTTTAGGTTAGCTATCCACTCTCACGTACATCTCTCCTCCATTCCCCACCACATCCCCATTTCCAGTGCGTGCTCTGGAAGTGGGATGTCCCAGGGACCGCGTGGGGCAATCCCTACCTCGTGGTGATGCCTGACATCATGCACCAGGCGGACCTGGGCATCATGAGCCACATTGTGGCTGTCGTGCGCAAGATGAAGAAGCGGTGTGTGAAGCAGATGGACAGGTCAGTGTTTTGGGGATTGGATTCGTTGCTCTTCGTCACATTTACTCAAACCATAAGTTCTGTCCTATTACTGGCATGTTTCTGCCCTTTTGCCACCGCTGAACTGATGTGTATGGGCAGGCGCCTGTCTCTCATTCGCGACCGCACGCACCTGAATCACATGCGCTTGCCGAAGAGCGCCTACTTCGAGACCGGAGCATGTGTGGCGGCCTATGAGCACAGGGCCGTCATGCAGGTATGAACCCTCCATTCCCTGTTGCTTGTCCTAGCCTAAACCCTCAAGCAGTCTGCTCATGCTGCCATTGTTTGTCCCAACTCCTCACACCATCTGTGCTCACCCTCCCCTTTGCTGCTATCCACATTCTTTGCAGGTCATGGTGTTTGTTTTTGCAGGCCTGCTTCGCCAGCCCCAGATGGATGCCATTCGTGCCTATCTTGGCTGGTACATCTTGTGCTCCCAACCTCAAGGGCACACTGAGCGGTCCCTCCGGGAGCTGAAGAAGATGACCTCTCGGTAATAATACCACGCATGTAAACCCCCGTGCATGGGATGAATGCTTGGCTACTGTAAATGTGCTCTTGTAGTAGGCAATCTTGTGAGGATGTTTGGTGCTAAACTTTGATAGGAAAGGATCAGGAATAGGAAAACCATATGAATAAGTAGACTCTGTGATTGCATGTGTTGTCATCTCCCACTCCCATCAAGCTCGTTGAGCAGTTGCAGGCTGCGTTTCCAAAGCAGCCATCCTCTTGGTGCCTTGTGAAAACACATCTCATGTCGCACTACGTTGACTCCATACGTCGCGCGGGTCATGTGACTGAATTCAGCACCAACATGTTCGAGCACTTGCACGGACCGTTGGTAAAGAGGATCTACCGTCGGTCCAACAAGCGCAATGTAGATGGGCAGATCATGAAGTTCCATGCTAGGCGCATTCCGGATGTGGTGCCGGTGGATGATCCTGCTGGCTGGGACACCGCCATGCGGCAGGTAAATATGTTTAGTGCTTGAATTGCATGGATATGAATGCAGAATGTAATAATATCAATAGCATATGTTGGCAGGCGATTGAGACCGACACATGGACGCTCATTAAGGAGTCATACTTCCTCCCTGTGGAGTTACCACAAGAACCCACCTCCACCAACTGGTTTGCAAGGAAGTGGGCCAAGCAACACCCTCGTGCCCAAGCTGCCCTCAAGGATGCGCTTATGCGTTATGCAGGATGCGTCACCAAGATTCGAGTAAGTAGTTGCAAGTTTATGCAATCAACCATCATTTGGCTGCCTCGTATCATACATGACTAACATCAACTGTTATGCAGGCCCATGCATCGCTGGCAATCCCTGCAGCGGACGACGCCAGCTTCTCAAGAGTTTCTCACTTCGTTCAAGCAACCCCTGACTATTTTGAGAGGCCATGGTACTCGGATGTTGTAGTGGAGGGTGTAAGGTATGGTCAGAGAGAGGAGTGGTATGCAAGGTTGCTTCTGTTGTTCCATACAAAAATACGCAGAGAGAGGGAGGAGCTGGCTTACGTTAGATATTGGAATGCAAGCGGAGAGGATACAGCAACAGGATACCTTCGCCTCAAGTGGACGACAGGAATGTACGCGTACTCCGTGATTCCGATTGAAGCGCTGCTCCGCCACGTCCATGTGGTGAAGGCATTCCACCTGGACAGTACCTATCTCCTTAATAAGTATCAAATGTGATGCATTTATCTTGTAATAAAATGGCCAGCATATTTTCAAGCAGACACATTTTAGGGAAGTCAAAGCTTAAAAAACCTATTACAAAATCACAACAAATTTGGCACGCTTCAAATAAACGGCAATGTACCGGAGTCGCGGATTCGATCCAGACTTCGACAAACAAACGCGGTCCGATTTCATTCCGTGATTGGTCGCGCTTTGGCTTTGGAACTTCGCCAACCAAAACACCTAAACTGTACCCCCCTTCGAACCCCCTTCAAAAACCAAGGTTTTTTGTGATGTATAGCAGGAGTTCACAATAATAAGCAAAGCTAGAGGCTATCATAGAGGGCAAGTGAGGAGGAGGAGAAACTGTGGGGGAGAGAAGATGGTGGGCGGCAGCTGAAGCTGCTAGCACACGGCGCAACTGGAGCAACTGGCACACGGGCAACTGGAGCAACAGGCACACTGGCAACTGGAGCAACTGGCACACGGGCAACTGGAAAAACTGGCTTCGCGGCAAAATGAGCGGCAGGAGCAACTGACCCACTGGTGACTCGAGCAACGGGCTCACGGGCGACTGGAGCGACGGGCTCACGGGCGACTGGCGCAACGGTCTCAGGGCGCCAAAACAGACAGGCAAAGGGGGCGCGCGCGGCTCTCCAGGGCGCCGCGACGGACGGGCGAAGGGCGCGCGCGGCTCCCCAGGGCGCCGTGACGGACGGGCGGGGGGCGCGCGCGGCTCCCCAGGGCGCGGTGACGAGCAGGGCGGGGGCCGCGCGCGGGTTCCCAAGGCCGCACGACGGGCAGACGGGCCGCGCACGGCCTGCAGGCCTGCGCACGCCCTGCAGGCTGACGCGACGGGAAGGGGGGGGGCTGCGCGCGGGTCCCCCACGGCAGGAAACCGCCGCGCGCCTCGGGGCGCACGGCGGGCAGTAAACCCTAAAAAAAAATGGCAGGAAGAAGGCGTCGCACGCCACGGGGTGTGCAACAGACAGAGTAGCAGCGGAAGCAGTTAGGTGGTGGGCCCACCCACAGGATCGACCCAAGGGGGTCCACCTGCTCTGAAACCATGTGAAAAGTAGAACGAGAAATGAGAAGGGAGGGTTTTCACTAGCAGTAGTTGGGATACATATAGCAAACCCTAGTTGGGTTGTACCCGCTATAGAGCACCCCACTAGAGGCTAGATCATAACATTCTGACATGGATGACCACAACTGTTTCTTGTTTGTTACTATTCGTTGTTGCGTTAGCATATCGCATGCTGGCGAGTACCCGTTGTGGCAAAGTCTACAAGTGCGCAGTACAACTATCACAACAAACCCTTCTGGAGGCACTTTGTATGTGTGACATGCGACAAACCCACTACCAGCGGCAACCCCATACTAAACCATTGGCATCAAAGTTTTTGATGTTTTTTATTGTTGTATTTTTTGAAATTTATTCAGCGTACATGTGCAACACTGTGCGTTCGTGAGATCACTGTACTTTGCAGGGATAAGGTTACATCGCACTTGAGGTTCTAAAACCATCATACCATGCATAGAGATTGATGCGTTGGCAACCGTGATTGGCCGATGCATCTCAAACGAGACCCCACGCAACACAAGCACCACCCAACAGGTACTTCCGCCATTGAGCAGATGAGATTGAGCGGTAGGCGGGTTTATGCACGGGTGGCTACACGTACACCATCCGATATAGCCTGATAGGGTTACAGTAATCTCTATAGTCTCGCAACCCACCCCAACCACCCTCGTGCCCCACCGACCTGCTCCCGTCACCCTCTAGACCAGCACTTAGACGCTGCTCGCTGTTTGACAAGCTTGTTTCTAGATTGCCCGTGACTCACCAGTATACTAAGTCATGGGTCGTAGCTCTGTGATTAGTGGCTACTACTTCAGTTTTAGTGATAGCGGCAGTTTTTGGAGAAAGATAACAGTGATAGGCCGTTGTTTAGCCCTTCGTGGGATTCAGTTGCTGCGGCCCTTCAAAACAGGCTAACCCGTTTCGCGCGATAGAAATTGGCATTCCTACAGCAACAATGACACGTGCCACACGTCAACAAGCAATGGAGGAGGAACAGGCCGGACGCCGCGCGACAAGGACGATGTCTAAACGGACCGATAGGGAGGGTGGTGGCGGTGCTAAGAAAACTAATGCGTCCGTTGCGCGTGGCACTGGGCTGAAAAAAGTGGCGGCAAAGAAGGTCGCGCGCGGTCAAGAGAAGTCCGGCAGGAAGGCGGAAGACAACAGGAAGCAACCAACGCCACGCAAGGGTGTTTTGACAGTGAACAAAGATGCGGATGTTGCCTCAACTGGAACCACGCCCTGTCCGACTAATGACGGCACCAGTGGCGGCAACGAACATCCCGGGCGAGGGAGCGCGAGTCTTGCAGTCTCGTCGGCGAAGAGAGAGGGATCCGCGACAAGGGGAAACCACGGAGGCGATCCCCGCACCGAGCATACCGCAACTAAGGAGTCCGAGGCAGAGGCATCTCAACACCATCTGACGCTGCTCCAGCCGACCGTGGTGGAAATTTCAGCTGCCGTGCTGGATAAGGACAAGGTGGGGGAGCATGAGTCGATGGAGGATCCTAACAACGGCATAGCCGACGTCGGTGGCTCTCCTCCTTCTTGTGGACGGGGGAGACGTAGGCAGAGGAAGAGCGATGAGGAGGACGATTATGAGGAGGACATCACCACGCGGACGAAGAGGCGGCAGACGACAAGCAGTGCAGACGACGCCGGTGGTGCGGAAGTTGGGACAACGCGAGGCGCCAGTGAAGCTAGTGGCAAAGCGACCAAAAGGGCCGACCCGCAGCAAGAAAAACATCCGGCGGAAGGAGGGGCAAGAAAGCAGCGATGAGGAAGAGGCCGAAACGGGGTGGTGAAGACCCTGGTGAGGCCGAGGAGGAGGATGATGAGGAGGAGGATGCGGAGGAAGAGGAGGATGAAGAGGATGCGGAGGAGGATGACGTGGATGTTGGGGAGGATGAAAAAGATGAGAATGATGGCGGGGAGGACGAAGAAGAGGAGGAGGAGGACGAGGAGGGCGGCGACGATGATGATGAGGAGGAGGAAGATGAGGAGGAGGATAAGGAGGAGGAGGAGGAGGAGGAGGAGGAGGAGGAGGAGGAGGAGGAGGAGGAGGAGGAGGAGGAGGAGGATGATGATGATGAGGAGGAGGAGGAGGAGGAGGAGGAGGAGGAGGAGGAGGAGGAGGAGGAGGAGGAGGAGGAGGAGGAGGAGGAGAAGGAGGAGGAAGAGGAGGAGAAGGAAGAGGAGAAGGAGGAGGAAGAGCAGGGGGACAACGAAGAGGCGGATGAAAAGGAGGAAGAGGAGGAAGAGGAGGAGGAGGAGGAGGAGGAGGAGGAGGAGGAGGAGGAGGAGGAGGAGGAGGAGGAGGAGGAGGAGGAGGAGGAAGAGGAGGAGGAGGAGGAGGAGGAGGAGGACGTGGCGGCAGTGAAGGGACGGGGTGGGCGTGGCAGACGGCAGAGTGGTACAGGGAAGGTGGGGGGCCGGACTCACCATTCCCGAAAACACGTGGCAGTTGACGCCGCGAGCGGCGCAAACCGAAGGCGCGTAAGGTGAAGGTCGAAAGTGAAAGGGATGGTAAGAAGCAAGGGCGCCAGGGAGCAAAAGGGGATGGAGGAAGAAAGGGTGGCGGCGCCAAAGGGGTTCCATTGGGTACTGGCAAGAAAGAACCTGCCGGTAAACGTCGCAGCGGCTGTCAAAGAACCATGCGGAAAGGTGGCAACGAGAAGGCGCTGGTAGCAAAAAAACTGAAGGGACAGCATAAAAGGTGAGCACCCTGGCCAATACACCGGGCGTGGTTGTTGCACTCTCTGCTCAACCGTGCCAAATAACACCATTCTACACGTTGTTTCTCCCATGCAGGGAAGGAGAAGGACGACGAATCTGCAAAGAAAGGTAAAGTCTCCTGTCTCAAAACAGTACACGGCTAAGCCCGATTTATATTCAAACCATTGATCTCGTGCATGATTGTCTGGCCCTGTATTGATACCGATCGACTCTAATTTCTTGATCCTACTCCCTCTAAATCTCAGCCCCTTGCGTTACATGCATTGGGTCACCGGTAAGCGTGCAATGGATTCAGCTAACGAAGGGGGCCGGAAGAGTGAGTGTTACGCCCCAAGGTTCTACACGCCATACTCCGGCCCGAACAAAGTCGATGTGACGGCTCCCGGCGCACCAAGAGGAGAGGAATCCGAATCACCTCCACCAGGCCCCGTCACGCACTCCCCACTCGCCTCACCCTCGTACCCATTTCGGCCGCTACACGCTTCTCCTGCCCGAGGCAGGGCGGTCTCCCCCCTCGCTGGTCCTTCGCGCGGGCATCAGCCAAGCACTTCTGCCAATCCCTTCCCTGAGCTCCCCTTTTCCCGCCAGCGTGATAGTGTGAGGGCACACGGGACTGCTGAAGAAGATGCTGAAACCCTTGGCCAAAGGGGGGATTCTTCACACCCTTTTCCACCGCTCATGGGTGCCCTAGGTGGAAGTGCAGAGCACGAGCAGTATGTTACCTGAGAGGAGTTCCAGGCGCTACGGTCTGAGATGTACGCCATGTTTGCACAGCTTGGCCTGCATCATGGAGTACCTGCCAGTTATGCCTCGCAGCCGCGCCTATGACTGGTACCCCGCCGCCGATGAGTGCCGTGGACAAGGCACGAGTGCTAGTGTTGCAGGAGACAAACCCATTCCCGGTATGTGGCGGGCCAAATGGGGCGGGTTGGGGCTGACGTGGCATCATGGACGGGTACACAAGAGTGGGGCGTGATGAGGCGACGCGTGTCAGGTGGGTGGTGGGTGACGTGGCATGGGGTGGGTGGGTGTGACGTGCAACCGGGGCTGGTTGTTGGTGGACGTGGCGGATGCAAGAGGGTGTGACGTGGCGGGTTGTGAGGGTTGGGCCTGACGTGGCATCATGGACGGGTACACGGGAGCGGCGCCTGACGGGGCGACGCGTGTCAGGTGGGTGGTGGGCGACGTGGCATGGGGTGGGTGGGTGTGACGTGGCAACCGGGGCTGGATGTTGGTGGATGTGGCGGATGCAGGAGGGTGTGACGTGGCGGGATGTGAGGATTGGGGCTGACGTGTCATCATGGACGGGTACATGGGAGCGGGGCCTGACAAGGCGATGCGTGTCAGTTGGATGGTGGGTGACGTGGCATGGGGTGGGTGGGTGTGATGTGGCAATCGGGGCTGGTTGTTGGTGGACGTGGCGGATGCAGGAGGGTGTGACGTGGCGGGATGTGATGATTGGGGCTGACGTTGCATCATGGACGGGTACACAGGAGCAGCGCCTGACGAGACGACACGTGTCAGGTGGGTGGTGGGTGACGTAGCATGGGGTGTGTGGGCGTGAAGTGGCAACCGGGGCTGTTTGTTGGTGGACGTGGCGGATGCAGGAGGGGGTGACGTGGCGGGATGTGAGGGTTGGGGCTGACGTGGCGGCTTGGACAGGTACACGGGAGCAGCGCGTGACGAGGTGATGCGTGTCAGGTGGGTGGTGGGTGACGTGGCATGGGGTGGGTGGGTGTGACGTGGCAACCGAGGCTGGTTGTTGGTGGACGTGTCGGAAGCATGAGGATCTGATGTGGAATGTTCACACAGTCCACAATCATAACTGGTGGTTTCTCTCTCCCATGTTGTGTTGTATACCCCACATCCTTGCGCAGAACAAAGCCTACTTAGTGTGCTCTCAGCTCATGTTTCTGAACCCGCTCGAGAAAATCCAGTACTACCCTGCACCGGAGGAAGTGTTCGAGGCGTTCGCTGTCCACTTGTCTGCCGAAGGGTGTCAAACATTATATGTTTGTGTGGTTCTAGGCTGTAGTGGGTCACACCATAGGGGGTACACCAGATTAGGGTTTCATATATTTGTACTGTTGTTCCTGCTAGTCACACTCATTCTCGTTTCTCGCTCTGAGTGCCTACTGTTCCTCACTTGCTTACTTCTTGACTTTACCTGTACTGTGATCATTATATATACATACCTGCATGTTTGCCTTGTTAGGTTGTGATCATTGTACCTCTTGCTCTATTATAAAACTGCATGTGAACTGGTCTTGTGACCGTTTGCTTGTGCTCGGAATTTGTGTGGAATCCTCGAGATCCACCCTGAGCTTGTTTGCCTTGTTTTGCCTTGACTGGTCTTGTGACCCCTAGGTCTCCCCCACTTTGCCTATGGGGGTGTGTCAAACATTATATGTTTGTGTGGTTCTAGGCTGTAGTGGGTCACACCATAGGGGGTACACCAGATTAGGGTTTCATATATTTGTACTGTTGTTCCTGCTAGTCACCCGTCAGGTCGCAGTCGCGGCCCCGTCAGGCCGCAGTCGCGGCCCCGTCAGGCCGCAGTCGCGGCCTCGCCTTGTCGCTGACGCGGCCCCACCCTGCCGCGGTCGCGGCCCCACCCTGCCGCTGTCGCGGCCCCACCCTGCCGCCGACGCGGACGCGGCCCCGCCCTGCCGCCGACGTGGACGCAGCCCCGCCCTGCCGTAACGCGGCCCCGCCAGCCCTGCAGCTGACGCGGCCGCGCCCTCTTGCTGACGCGGCCGCGCCATGCTACTGACGCGGCCGCGCCTAGCTGCTGACGCGGCGTCGCCCCTGCCCGCGGCGTCGCCCCTGCCCGCCGCATCGCCCTGCCCGCCGCGTCGCCCCTGCCCGCGACGTCGCCCCTACCCGCCGCATCGCCCTGCCCTACCCCGCGCCGGGCCCCTGGAGCAGCCGCCACTGCAGCAGCTGCCCTTGGCCCCTGGAGCAGCCGCACCTACAGCCGCCCCTGGCCCCTAAAGCGGCCGCCCCTGCAGCAGCCGCCCCTGGCCACTCGAGCAGCCGCCACTGCAGGAGCCGCCCCTGGCCCCTGGAGCAGCCGCCCTTGGAGCAGCCGCCCCTGCACCAGCCGCCGTAGCGGCCCATTCCCGCCCTGCACCAATTGCCGCGGAGCTTCCTACCGCGGTCGCGGCCCTGCCCTGCCGCTGTAGTGGCCTCGTAGTCGCCTCTGTCGTGCGCCTGCCCTTCCCACCACTGGTGAGCACTGCCCTGCTGCTCCTGCTTCTACTACTGCTCCTGGCATGGCCAGATGCAGCTCCAGGGTCGTCCGCGTGTGTCCCTCACGCCCCAGCAGCTTTGTGAGTGGTACAAAAGTTCGGGTTGTCGGGGTGGCAGTCGTGGAAGTCATCCTGGAGTGGGTATTTTGGGAGCTTCTTGTAGTGGCCCAGTGTAGCAGCAGCAGCGTCTGCGCGAGACTCTTTCGCCCCAGCAGCTTCGTCAATGGTACGCTCAGAGTAGAGGGTCGCTGAGTAGTGCTCGCTGCCTGTACGTTATTAGCACGGGTGTCCAGACTAGTCAGCCTTGCGCGACGCGTGGTCACACAGAGTCCCGCTGCTTCGCCCGTCTGAGCGACGCTTGGCGTACAGAGTTTGGCGACAACGCTGAGCTCCCCGACTAGGTGGAGCTGCTTAGGCAGAGAGTAGATATCTTTGTGTCAGAGGTCCACTGGAGATCTCCGATTGATCCTAGGGAAGGGTTATAGGCACGTTGGCCTGGGGGGTTATGGGCACACTGACCCGCTACTTAAACAAGCCCTTTTATCCCAGTGGTCAAGTGGCTGGGATTCTGACATGGTATTAGAGCGAAGGTCTTGGGTTCGAATCCTGGTATATGCACTTTGGGCATCCCAGTGCGGGGGGGTGTCAGAGGTCCACTGGTGATCCCCGATTGATCCTAGGGAAGGGTTACAGACACGTTGGCCTGGGGGGTAATGGGCGCACTGACCCGCTACTTAACAAGCCCTTTTATCCCAATGGTCTAGTGGTTGGGATTCTGACACTTTGCTCTTGACTATGATGCTATTCTCACTGCAATGTATGCATTTTCTACTAGTGCCGAGGGAGCCTGTCACCTGTGTGTGCCGCCTGATCCCGGTATCCAGTCTACTGCTCCAGGTGCCGGTGAGGCTGCCGCTCTAGGTGCTAGTACGTCTGCTGCCCCTGGTCCTGGTGAGGCTGCTGCTCTAGGTGCAAGTGTGTCTGCTGCTTCAGGTGCTTGTGAGTCTGTGCCTTGCATTACTGCGTCTACTGAGGCACTGCACACCTTCACACTGGACTCAGGTGCTTCCCGTTGTTTCTTTCGCGACCGCACTGCCCTCAAGCAGCTCCCTAGGCCGGTTGCTGTCTCCCTAGCTGACCCCTCTGGGGGTTCGGTCCTTGCGACCTCCACCGCTGCCCTCCCTTGTCCTGCTGTCCCTCCCGGCACACTTTTGGGCCTTTACCTCCCCTCGTTCTCTACGAACTTGGTGGCGGGTTCTGCGCTCCAGGACGCGGGTATTCACCAGTTCACCCCTGCCTACAAGCGTGTGACACACTGCACATGTGCCCAAACGGGTCGTCACCTGGCTACCTTCACTCGGCAGCCGGGGTTGGACTTGTACACACTAACTACTGAGTCCCCTCAGGTAGTGGCAACTGCGTCTTCGTTAGGTCAGTTGGCCGCCCCCTGCTCGTGTCGCACCCTGTCGCACCGGACAAACCTCTGGCACCACCGCCTTGGCCACCCTTTGATGCATT